CTTCACAATTGGCTGGCATGTGTTGTTAACTGGAGCTTATTCATTGAGCTGATTTCTTTGGACACCAAACATAATAACCTGTCCTATACAAGAACAATGTAAACTGATCATAAAACACTTCCTGTGCATTGCCAGAGTCCACTCAGCAGCCCCAGCTGGACAGTTTTTGTTGTGATTTCTTTACTCAGTTAAAGATGAGCAGGGGAAGCACAGAGGGGCAGAGGCATCATTTCAAGGTCTCAGGGTGGGATGCAGTGGGTTGGAGCTTGATCCAGGATCTCCTGGGCTCAACCACGATGTGCTGGATGCTTCTACTTCCTCCTGTTCCTCTTGGATACTTCAGGCCACGCATCGTAAAGCACCAGTTTGGATCCTCTTCCCTGTCAATGCGTTGTTACACATACACTTGTCCATATCAAAGCATATAACTCTACTTTTATCCCATGACTTGAAAGATTTCTTGTTCATGAAGAAGTTTTCTGAAGAAAATCATTCACAAAGTACAGAAATGTGAACTGGGCTTTCATCAGCGTTCACTGTGAAATTTCTTTTTGCCACATCCCCAGGGGGTGGGGTTTGAACTGGCTCTCTGGGCCATTCCAAGAGAGACCCTGTATCAGTTCCCGAGGGGCAGACAGGCTCAAAGGATCTTTAATGGCTCCAGTTCTTGCTTGAGCCTATTTTGCAAGTGTGCTTTCAATCTTTCTGGGAAACAGAAGAAAAGATTTTTGGACTGCTGTGTAACCCTGAGGGAGGAACTTCTTTTGTGTCAAAGATGGCAGTGTCCATGAGGGTGTTAGTTGCATTATTTCATGGGTAACCAATAGATACAGTTCAGAAAGTAGTGCGTAGAGGTGTGTTAGAGTCACGTTACTAGAATGAAGTGCCTGAGGCAATTCATTTATAAAGAGAAAAGGTTTAGCTTATGGTCTTGGAGGGCCCAGTCTGAGCCTGCATATCTCCATTGCTTTGGGCCTCTGGTGGGAACGCCAGATGGTGATAGTAGGCAACTGTTCTCGTGTCTGTGTCGGGAGCCAGGACACAGGGATCCCAAGTCCTCCTCTCAGAGGTTCTACCCCACCTCTTGTCTATCTACCCCCCCCCCCACCACACACACACCTGGCGGCCTTGGAATCAGGAGGACCTGGATTGGACCTCTATCCTGACTAGCTCTGGGGCCTTGGGGGAGTTCTTTACTCTTTGGAAGCTTTGGTGTGAATACAGGGTTTCTAGTGCTCCTTTTCTTATAAGACAGCGGTGAGAGTTAAATGAGATCATATACACAAAGCATCCAACAAACACATAACTACAAACCCCAGTGACAATGCTGAGCAGATTTTTACATGTAGGTTTTTGAGCTTGACTGAACTAATTTGTGTATGGATGTGATTTTCCTATCATCTACAAGAAGATAACTTTATTCATTTCTAATGTGATTGTCTTTGATTTTTTTCCCTCTTGCCAGTTGCTGGCTAGAACTGTGAAGACTATGTTGAGTTGAATATTATGCTGAGTGGTGAGAGTGGCTGTCTCGGTCTTATTCTTCATGATCTTGCAGGAAAAACTTTCATTTACCCTTGAATATGTATAATATTAGCTGTGTATGAAAACAGTTTTTTTTGCCAGTCCTATAGTTTGAACTCAGAGCCTGGGCACTATCCCTGAGCCTCTCTGTGCCCAAGGCTAGCACTTTACCACTTGAGCCATAGTGCCACTTCTGGCTTTTTCTGTAGTATTGAGAAATTGAACCCAGGGCTGCATGCATGCTTAGCAAGTACTCGACCACTAAGCCACATTCCCCTAGCCTGAAAACAGGTTTTAAAAAGAATTTTAGGCTGGGTGCTGGTAACTCATGTCTGTAATCCTAACTACTCAAGGAGGCTGAGATCTTAGGATTATATTTTGAAGCAAGGCTGGTTAGAAAGGTCTATGAGACTTATCTCCAATTAACCAGCAAAAAAAGCCAGAAGTAGAGGTGTGGCTTAAGTGGTAGAGCATCAGTCTTGGGCAAAAAAAAAGCTAAAGGACAGCACCCTCTGTTCAAGCCCTAGTACTCTTACAAAAAAAAAAGCCTTAAGAAGTTGTGTGCCCTTTTATTCCCAAGCCCCCAGCAGAGTGTCTGATACATAATCATGATTTAATGGATAAAATGTGGAAAAATGGTGGTTTCTCAAAACTGAATGAGCTGAAGGTACTTCTTCATTTTAATTTTTGGTCTTGGTGTTTGAACTCAGGGCTGGTGCTTGCTCTACTACTTGATTATACTCCAGCCCCTGCCAAAGGAGCTTCTGGGCAGAGGGTTCACTTAGTATTGTTTTTATTTTATTCTATTTGTTGGTCATGGGGCTTGAACTCTGGGCCTGGATGCTGGCCCTCAGCTCTTCAGCTCAAGGCAAGCACTCTACTACTTAAGCCATAGTGCTACTTACGGCTTTTTCTGCTTATATGGTGCTGAGGAATCGAACCCAGGCCCTCATGCATGCAAGGCAAGCACTCTACCACTCAGCTATCTTTCCAGCCCCTCTTGGTATTGTAAGGGTAGTAAGGAATAGAGGCTGGTGACAAGCTCGATAAAGTGTTGTCAGGGGGCCTACTGGCAAGGAGCAGGTCACAGAACCGCCACGGATCTCACTACACTTTGCTTGGAGACCTTTTGATTTATTCTATTTTCTCTTCCCTCCCTCCCTCTCCTTCCTTCCTTCCTTCCTTCCTTTCCTCTCTTTTTCTGTTGTCTGTCTGTGCTTTTGTGCTGTTTTTAACTCTGGGCTCTGTTCCTGAGGTTTTATGTTCAAGCCACAGCTCTACTTCCAGCGTTTCCAATAGTTAATTGGAGATAAGAGTCTCCCACGTTTTTCTGCCCAGGCTGGCTTTGAACTATAATCCTCAAAGCTCAGCCATTGGTGCCTGTTTATTCTATTTTCTATTGTATTTATTTGGGTACTGAGGTTTGAACTAGGGCTTGCTAGGCAAGTGCTCTACTAATTGAGCTATCCTCCCAAGATCAAGCCTTGTGTTTTTTCCCTGGGGCCTGTATGAAACTGAAATCCCTCTATCCTTCTTTCCCAGCTGGGATTGTGTGTGATGTGAGCTACCACTCTTGGCTTGTTTCAGATGAGGGTTCACTAACTTTCTGCCCAGGCTGTCCTTCACCCATGAACCTCCTGCCCTCTTCCTCCTAAGTAACTTGAATTACAGGCATGAGCCACTGAACCCAGCTGAGTGCATTTTAGAGACACCTATCTGTCTGGTTATCTTTCTCTCATCTATATTAGCACTTAACAGCTGGAAGAAAATAACATATGTTATATCTCTTTGTATTTCTGACTGCTGAATAAATAACTTATAGCCCACTGGGTGCACAGAAAACGAGTGAAATGCTATAAATTATAGATGAAATTGCGAATGCTGCTGGAGTGTAGCATATGCCTTGTTTTGGCACAGATTTGAAATGGTGTAGCTGATTTAAAGGGCTTGAGTCTGTTTGCCTTCATTTTAATTTGGAAACGATTGGATAGCATCGAGTCACAACCGGAATCTCGTTAGTCATACCATGTCCTCCTACCGGACCCTAGCCCCTCAACTTAAGAGCAGATAAAAATTCAGATTAACTGTTGTCTTAGAGTGGAAACTGAACAATGTTATTTAATGTGTTGGCGTTCTCTTCATTTGGACTCCTAACAAGCAAGTTCTAAATATGAGCTAGCATGTTCTCCCTTTCCCTTTTTAACAAGGTCAGCTGAGATGCAGATTTACACAACGTGTTCTGTAAATGCAGAACGTGTTAATAACTTTGAAGAGGCACCAGGATGGAGTGGAAAGAACAAACCTTTCTGTCTCACTGAAGATTTTTCTGACTGCAAATAATTGAAACCTTGCAGCTTGTGCCAAAGAGGATTTCAGCACACCCCAAAAAGATATTCTCGGGATACAAGCCTATTTTGTAGGACCCAAGGGCAGAAGCGGTAGCCAGCTTATGGGACTGCAAGCCCTGGGACAGAGGCCTCTCCATCTGTCTCCAGGCAACATGGCCTCACCTCCCCTTCTCTCTCTCTCTCTCTCTCTCTCTCTCTCAGCAGACTGGCTTCTCTTTGTACATAGCTGCTCCAGCTGCCCAGCTCTGGCTTTTTATATTTTTTATTGCTCCAGTTCAAGGGCCAGCTGAGGCTGCCTGGCATCTCAGATTTCCAAATTCCTGGAAGACAGAATCTAGTTATCTCATCTTGAGTCAGATGACCCCTCTTAACTTGTTCATGTATTAATGCAAAAAGTCTTTACTGTAGGGTTCCAGGAACTGTTTTAGGCACTGGGGGTATAGCCTGCCCTTGTGTGAGGGGGGGGGAGGTTCTGCTCATTCTTTCAGGGATGGGTAGAGAGTTTCAATTTGCAAAGAAAGGGAAAGAGGTAAGCGTTTATTTGGGTAGACTTGGATTCAAACCCTGATTCTTCCCCTTCCATAAACTTTATGCTACCTAAGGCATGTCAAACTATTTTCTATAGCCTCATATTTTTAATTAGCTAAAAGGGAATATTCCATTAGAATCTAGCTACGAGAACTGAAATGAAATTGTGCTTGTAAAGCCAGTGGCATGTGTATGTGACAACCCTGTCTGAATCTGTTTCTTCATCTACCTCACATGCTCATTATGAGAACCAAATCATGTCGTGTGCCAGGTGTTAGGAATTGTACATAGTGGACACCCACTATGGTCCCTATCCCTTTTGTAATTAATCACATATTTTTTGTCCATTATGGGACTTGAACTCAGGGCCTGAGCACTGTCCCTGAGTTCTTTTGCTCAAGACCAGCACTCTGCCACTTTGAGCCACAGCATCACTTCTACTTTTCTGGTGGTTAATTGAAGATAAGAGTCTCATGGACTTTCCTGCCCAGGTTGGCTTTGAATCGTGATCCTCAGATTTTAGCCTCCTCAATAGCTCAGATGATAAGCATGGGCTACCACTGCCTCGCTAATTAATCACATTGGTTTTCTGTTTTCTAGTTTCCATTTGGCCGACGCTTGCCTTGTGACATCTACTGGCATGGAGTTTCATTTCACGACAATGACATATTCTCTGGTCAAGTGAACAAGTTTCCAGGTATCTGCTGTTAATGTTGACATTTGAAAGTGTTTCTGGTGTTTCTACCATCTATAAAAAAACAACAAAACAAAACATGACAGTGTGGTTGAGCTCAAACTTGAAGACTCTTAATTGGGAATTGCTGCCTGTGTGTTCTGCTGCATTGCTGTTGTCATGGGAGGGAAGTTAGCACAGGGATAATCAGGACTTAAGCCTCCCAGGACTTCAAGAGTGCAGGCTAGCTTTTGCAGACATTGAGACAGGCTTTCTTGGTCTAATTCCACTGGTGGGAGAATATGATTTTTCACTTGTTAGGTTATAGATATAATATGGGGGGTCTAGTGATGAAACTATATGCTCCAAATGAACTGGAACATTCCTCCCATGGGAACTAAGATTCTAGGAACGTATCCTATAAAGGAAGTATCAGTTCCCCCCTCTTTAATGATCATAGTTGGAGATAACCATTTTCAAAACCAAATTCTCTAGTCTGCATTCTAAGTGCCCTGAGCTATAGGCAGCCTCAGCTAGTACATAATGACACAGGCACTCACCAGAAAATTGCCACTGCCAACACATCCGAACATCCCTCTCTCTACACCTCAGCCTTCACAAACAATTTTTTTTTAGTTCTATTTTTAAATCTGTCGCCTCCTCCTGCTGTGGTCACTATTTTTCATTGCTTTTATTCAGGCCTATGTGAAGTCAGAGGTTCGGGGTAGTGGGACAGTTAGGGAGAAGGAAATACTTGGTTAAGTTTCTCCACCCACAGGGTCTTATATTTAGTTATTTTACTGCACAGAATATGGTATAATGTATTTTTTTCTGTCAGTCGTGGGGCTTAAACTCTGGGCCTGAATACTGTCCCTCAGCTCTTCAGCTCAAGGCTAGCACTCTACCACTTGAGCCACAGCGCCACTTCTGGCTTTTTTTTTCTGTTTATGTGGTGCTGAGGAATTGAACCCAGGGCCTCATGCATGCGAGGCAAGCACTCTACCACTGAGCCACCTTCCCAGCCCTGGTATAATACATTTTTAAAGGGAACATCACCCTGAATCTCATCCCTCATCTGCCAAAATAACCATGTGCCTATCTTTTATATTTCCTCCCAACCTTAAATGTATTTATCTTTTTTATATGTCAGCATGTAGTTGGCTGAATAGAGATGGTTTTTCTTAGTATAATGTCATCTATATACAAAAGAGAGCATTAATTTCCTCACTTTTCTTTGGCATTCTATATTATATCTTTAAGAAGACCTCGCTCAGGAAACCCAGTACCTGCAGGTCATACACTGGCTAGTTTTACCATCTCTGCTCAGTGGTTTTCAATGTAAGCATGGAGATTTTCCAAGTTGCTGCCGTAGGCCACAGGTAGCTCATAATCATTTAGAAGATGCATAATCAAGAAACACAGCTTATCTTCCAGTCAGTATCAGCCATATCTCTTCAGTAGAGTATTTGTAACAATCTCAGGGTCTAGTCTCTGGACCTAGAGTGAAAAATCAGGTAGAAGGAGACAGGATCTATGTCTGCCTTGGTTTAGGTGCTGCATAGGAGTCAGTAGCTCTCATAATTGCTCCACAGTCCATCTTTCAAGTTCCCTCCAAGAACACATCTTACCACACTCACGAAAGCCTGGAGCTATGGCTTCCAACCAGGTATTACCAATCAGGAGTCATTTGAACTGTGTGCTTTGTGGTGGAATAACACAGCGAGCCGTATACCTTTATTGGTTTCCAAGGGAACAGAGATGGAAGTTACCCCAAGGTCAAAGTTGTTCTTAGACGAGGAGAAAGGTTTTTGTTAAGAGAATACCACTTTAATGCTATTTTCTCTGCCTTGCTGCTCTTGCTCAGAGAAAGGTTTCTTCCTGATGCCACTAAAAAGACTTCCTGAGATTTGGGAGGACACAATTTAGATGAGAACAACTCTTTGAATTGGAAACAGAGTTCCTCAAACATGAGGCTTCTTCCACATTTTCTCCATCTGCTTCCGAAGAAATCACTTAAATGGTGGAGAGTGGTGAGAAGCAGCTATGGCTCTACTCTAGGAAAACAAAGGAGAAATATAGAAAGCAGTACTCCCAGAGGAATAGGTTTATGAACGGTGATAAAGGAATCTTCATTCCAAAGAAACAAGTTGCCCCCTTCCCAAATTCCCCATGCCAGTGACTGGAACATGTAATTTTCCACTTTCCTAATAGTAATTGATCTGCTGTACAACAAGTAGGCCTTAGGTCCTCTTAACGAGCACACAGCACTGCACCCCCTCTACCCTATGATAGATAGCAGGCCTCAGCCCCAGGGTAGTTCCAGAACCTTCTGTTCTTTGATATGAGTTATATCCAAGTTTTTCTTGTGTCTCTCATCCCACAAGTATGAAAATACATTCTCCAGGAATGGTCTGTAACTTAGCATAATAAGTTCTGGTGAATGTATCAGATATGTATAGACACGTCATGTACAGGAAAACAAAAAACTTCTGGGTATACATACACATGTAATATATTTTATTTGTGTCACCACATTAGGTTTTATTTGGGTAATTTCTTTGCTCAAAACACATTATTGTATCTTAACTGAGCTAAGACTTACTATAAAAATATCTTAGCTGTGTCTTTGCTTTAAGATAATCCCAAACGATCGATTCTCAGCTTCTAAAGAATAGTTAATTATTGAATTCCGTGGTCTGAGATGTTTGGCAGTCCAGGGTAGATGAAGTAGAGCTTCAGTGAGGCATCTGTGGCTTTTGGCTAGCTGTCTGGGCTCTGGGGACACAGAAAGACAAGAAGAAAGGTGCGCAAGAGAATAAAGCACGATGTTAGTGTGATTCCAGAGGTAGCTTGGAGTAGCTAGGAGTCCTGAGTGAGCAAGGACACACAACCTGATCCAGCTTTGTGTGGGTGTCAGGCAGGGTAAGAGATCCTGAAGAAGATTGGCTTATGAGCTGAGCCTCCAGGAATGAATGCCCGCCCCCTCCAAGTGCCAATCAGGGAACAAAGGCACGAAATTCTTTGTGCGTGCTGCTCATGCAGTGAAGGACAAGTGACACAGGATGTCTCAAGTGGACCCGATGAATGGGGCAATGAAGTGACAAGCAGAGGCCTGACACATCACTGTCTAGACAGAAGGGTTTGAGAACCACTGAGACACTTACATGAGACAATAGCCCAGGTCAGCTTGTCTTTCAGAAAGATCATCCTGAGGGTCACATTGGCAGTAGCAGAAAGGCTGGGAGGAAATGGGTTTAGCTACGAGGTGGAACCCAGGCCGAAGATGAACTAATTAGTAACAGTGGGAACAAAGGAAGAGGAGGTGAATCCGAAAAAATGTTTGCTGTAGCATGTTTTATCAATGGTGATTACAGAGTACTCCAAATACATATAGCTCAGTCTGTTTTTGCTTTGACGGGGCTGTGTGGGAAAACCTGAGGACTGGTCTCCTGGTTGATTCCAATGCATTAAGACCCTCAGGCCTTGCATCTCCAGGGTAGCAGACAGAACTCAGACCTCAGGAAGCATGCCCATGGTGTCAGAAGCTCGGCCTGAGTTAGTTTCTCCATCCGGTAAGGGAACAGCTGCTGCAGAAACATCTAGAGACAGACCTTACTGAGAAACTTAGGAAGTCAGTCGGCCTCCACAGAGCCTGTTAGTAAGTGGCAAGACCCTGGACAGTGGGCTCACATTACAGGCAGGAGGAGTCTACCTTTTGGGTAGACTTAGAGGGAGCATAGATGAGGGTGAAAAGAGGAGGTTCAGTGACGAGAACAAAGCAAAACCTCAGCTCTGTGTGCTGCTCAGGCAGCCGTTCAGTCCCCAGGAGTAAAAGATAGATGACCAAAATGGAGGATGAAGCCATAGAGCCTCAGAAAAACACATGATTGGTACACAAAGTCAAGTTCAAGTTTTAGCAGAGAGGACCAGATAGTTAGATCTAGAGCCGAGAGAGGGGATACCTTGGGTGGGTTGGGTGCTGCGACTGCTAAGGGAAGAGGCCAGTCTTGACCAGCAGGAATGTGGCATAAGATGCCGCCACTTCTCCCATCCATGTCTGAGTGGCTAGAGGCAGGAATGACAGTAGCTTCTATGGCAAATCTTGTGAGTTGCCTGCGATTCTTTTCCTGGTAGCCCTGCAGGGAAACAGAGCTGGGCTGGAGGGGGGGAGGGCTGTTTTGGTGACTAGTGGATATCAGACATTCCTTCAAGCAGGGTTCTGACAGCCAGAGGGCAGTCAGTGTTAGGGATGGGCAGCGTTTGGCCTTTAGGACACAATTGAAGTTAGCTACTTTCAGTGGAGAACTTCCTAGAGACACAAAGGTAAACTTGGAAACCAGATCTGTTAGCAGTGGGGAACTAAGGATGCATGTTACAAAAGGAACCATTGGCTAGGCGCATGCGTTGTCATCCTAGCTACTCAGGAAGCTGCATATGGTGGTTTGAAACCAGCCTGGGCAGGGAAGTCCATAATACTCTTATCTCCAATTAACCACCAAAAGTCTGGAAGTAGAGCTGTGGCTCCAGTGCTAGAGTGGTTAAGTATTAACTTCTTGCTAGACAGGTGCTCTACTGCTGTGCCACAACTTCAGCCCTTATTGAGCTTTTTGATACACCAAGGGAAGGGAGAAGTTGTAATTCTAATCTTCCTTCTCAGATGTTCATTTGGTTCCTGAACATGAGGGTCAAGAGAAACATCATTATCTCTGACTGGGGCCATTTTAAACATGTGATGATTGGGGCATGCCAAGCTATGGGGAACTCTAATTTCTATTAGAGATAATTGTACCATGCTCATTTCTAATGACAGTCATGGACCACTTTAATCTCTTTCAGGATACAGGTTATTTTTAATATGAATTTTTAGCCTTAAATAAGCAGGCTAAATTTTATAGTTCTTTTTAACCTATTTCTTAAAATTTGCTAAGATAAACAATATTGTTTCCTTGCTTGCCAGAGTTACCAATGATGTTACAAAAATAATGTCCACCATTATTTCTTAAAGTATGTTTTAGATGAGACACTTCAGTTTCCTCTGGTCAAATTAATGAAAGCTGATCAATGTCAATATAAGTACTTAGAACTAAGAATTCCTATGAATTACATTCTCCCCACCCCAAACTATAAATTTTGCTTTGATAGCCTTTCCATTTCCTGTCCTTGATCCAAGAAGACAGATTTTATGCTGAAAGGTGTTTGTGTGTGTTTTTCTATTTTATACCTCAATACTCATGAAAGATTAAAACCTGGAAACTTAATTAAGTTTCTCATCATGTCACCAGAGTCGACTAGATAATATTCTCTAGGGTAAAAGATAGAAAGAGTCTCAGAAATATGTGTGCTAGCCCCCAACTAAAGAGGGTATTAAGTTTTAAGTGCAAGATAGAAATTCTTCTTGTGCCTATTACCTATTGAAATGGCAGCCAGATGATAAACTGGGTGAAAACCATGTATTCGAAGGGATGCTTCATTTTTTATAATGAATGCTGTCTTCTTTCACTATTCTGGTAGCTCTTTCCAAAGAGCCACTACTGCGAGGAACAACTCATACTTATTGTAAATACTGCTTTTAAAAAGTGGCCATGGTGGATGGATGGTTTTAAAGATCCCAAATAATGCCCACTTTGTAGATGATGACATGTGCTTGTTCAAACCTGACGGTTGGTCTCCTCTCCAGGTATGACAGAGATGGTGCGTAAAATCACCCTGAGCAGAGCTGTGAGAATTATGCAGACCCTCTTCCCCGAAGAGTACAACTTCTACCCTCGCTCGTGGATTCTACCTGAGGAGTTGCAGCTCTTCACAACTCAGGTAGATGGCGCTCTGTCCCCATGACCCCTGAATTATTTGTGCTTGTGACTGATTGTATCCTGAGTCCTGTGTGCAAGGAGCTGGGCTGAAGGAACCCCAGGAAGCTGAACCTGATTAAGAGGGGGACTCGTGGGTATTTGGTGGGTGTTGGCAGTATGCAGAGTTGAATGGGGAGGGTGAGAGGGTGACAGGTAAGTCCACTGAAGAAGTGGGTCTTGGCATGAGAGGACAGGTCTTAGTGATACCAGAAGTAGAACATGGAGACTGGGCAGGTGGACCCCACAAATGGGGCCATTTGGGAAAACCGTAGGAGAGGGATGCCCCAACTTTCAGTGGTATAAGATGGAGGGTGTTGAGCTCTTGCCTAAAGGCTAGGGAACTAGTCTGACAACCTGTAAGTGAGTCTCTTCAAGAGTCCTGCTTTGAATTTGTTCCAGAATCAATTCTCAAATGCCCAGCCTGTGGCACTTATAGGCAAAGTGTTTGAGCTTGGAATCCTTCAGAGTTTTTGCCACTGATTATGAAATAGAAGTAGGGAAGAAGAATTCAAAATTGCTATTCTGTTTAGTCTCTTACCAGACTATTTAGAATGATTTCACATCCTTTGGCAAGATGTGCAGCCCATACCATAAACATGAACTGCGGGGTCGCTGTGCAACAAAGGTCTGTCTAATTATGGCAAGGCAGTTATCTCTGAGTGGGCCTACTGTGTTCCAGACATTGGGCTAGAAGCATGATTACTTTTCATATTCACACTAACCTTATGGCACGTTTTTGGTTTTGTTGTTGTTGTTGTTTTAAACATCTCCATTCCATGGATGAGGTCCATGAAGCTTTGGGAAATGTAATGACCTGCTCAGGAAATAAGCCTTAAGTCTAGCACTGACTCGTAGGCCTGTGGTTTTCATATGTTTTGTTGTCTTCATATTGGTTTTAATGTTGAACTACAAAACCTATAATAAAATTATGATTTACTACACACAAAACAGCTTGAAGTACTAATTTTTAAATGGAAGCACTCCAGGAGACCGCAGTCATATGGGTTTGTAAACATTTTTTTTTTAATCATCCAACTATTAACTTACACCAGGTGCATTTCATTGCATGTAAATTATGCTCCAATAAAGTTAATTTAAGAAATAACTATTAGCTATTCTCTGTGCTCTCTCCAATCTCTCACTTCTGTGGCTTTACTCCACAGAATACCTTTCCTTCTCAGGTCCACAGCTATCTAGGTCTATTAGCAAGGCTAATTAGGTAGCTCCAACTATATTAAAAATTAAAAGAGCTGGATGCTAGTGGCTCACACCTATAAGTCTAGCAACTCAAGAGGCTGAGACTTGAGAATCATGATTTGAAGCCAGCCCTGATAGACAAATCCTTGAGACACTTATATCTCCAATTAATGAGCAAAAAGCCAGAAGTGGGGGTGTGGCTCAAGTGGTAGAGCACCAGCCATGAGCAAAAAAAGCCAAGTGAGAGTGTGAGGCCTGAGTTCAAGCCAATCATATCATACACATTAAAAATCTAATAGAATTAATAAGATTGTCAATCGTTGAAGTCAAACCTGTAACATTCAAGAAGAGGGAAGTTCAAGGCCAGCCCAAGGGAAGTTTTTATTGCCAGACCATATTTGAAAAGAAACAAAAACAAAAACGGTAAAAGGACTGGTGGTACGTCTCAAGTGGTGGAATGCTTGCCAAGTAAACAGGAGGCATGAATTCAATTCCCAGTACCACACATATACACACAAAAAATAAGTTTAGATAAGTAGACTTATATGGTATGTGCTCTTTTGAGTTTTTTCATGTTAGAATTCTGTTTTTGAGACTCATCCATGCATTTTGTATGTCTCAGTTATCTGTATTTTCTTTATTATTGAATAGCTTTCCAGTATAGGAATTATCACAATTCCTTTATCCACTTGGCATCTGGGTCATTTCCAGTTTGTGGATATTAAAAATAAAACTGCCATGACTATGTAAGTTATTTTCTAGATAGGTGTTTTTTTTGTGTAATATCCAGAAGTGACATTTTGTGTTATGTTATATGTGTATATTTATCTTTGTAGGAAATTGCCAAACTTACTTTAAAAAAATCTTTAGTTACATGAAGGAGTTTCAATTTTACAGTTGGCAAACAGTTCTTGTCATAAATAGATGCTTATTCTCATCATATGCCTCTTCTGTGTTTATTGAATTGATCTTATGACTTATTCTTTATTTTGATAATGTGATGAGTTGATTGAATGATCTTTTAAATGGTGCATTCTTGATATAAATGTCATTTAGGTATTCTCCTTTTTATATACAGATGAACCCCCTTTGCAACACATTACTATTTTGTATGTGTATTCATAAGACTAGCTGATATGTAACATTTATATTTGGTTTTGGTGTGGGGCTAATGTATGCCTTTTGTTAAAAGAATTGGCAAGTATTTCTTCCTCTACTTAGTTGCAAGTTTTGCTATTATTAAATGTTCAAAAGAATTTACTGTCAAATGTATTTGGGCCTGGGCTTTCTTTTGAGGAATATGTGAAGTTGTAGGATCATTTTTTCCAATAGATATAGTTAACTTGTGCCTTTCAAAGAATTAGACTGTCTTATCTCACTTGACATCAAAATATTTTAAATAATATTGTTGTGGTAAGTGGTAATTTTTCTGTTTTGAAGTGACAGTCTAGTTAAGAATTTATCATTTTTACCAATCTTTTAAAAGAATCCACTTATGATTTTATTTTCTTTGTTCATTTAATCATTGGTTTATTTTAATGTAATGTCCTTTTTTCTATTTTTTAGTTTAATTTGCTTCTTTTTCTCAACTTTTAAAGGAGCCAACATAGAATTACTAACTTTTAAACTTTAAGCAATAAAGTTTGCAGTATTCTTTTTGAGTGCATCTCAGAAATTTGTATATATTACATTTTCATTATCATTTGGTTTAAGCGCTTACTAATTTCCCTTAAGGTTTGCCTTGGATTATTTAGAAATGTGTTGCTCAATTTTACAATAATTTTGAGATTTTCCAAGTAATTCTTGGGCTAGGAAGGTGGCTCAGTGGTAGAGTGCTTTTTCTTGAGGGGAGGGTACTTTCTAAGGCAGCATTCTACCAATTAAGCTAACCCACCTTTCTTTAGTTTGATTTTCAGAGAGGGTCTCACTTTTGCCCTGGTCTGGCTTCAGACTGTGATCCTCTTACTTCCACGTTTGGTGTAGAGGGAGTTACAGGCGGATGCCACCGCAGAGAGCTTGTTTTGAGTAATAGGGTCTCATTAACTTTTTCTCTTTTTTACCCTGGCTTCAAACCGCGATCTCCATTCCTGGTTCCCATATATCTGAGATCATAGGTGTGCCTCACCATGCCTATCAAAAAGTACATCCTTCATCACTTTGATCCCTTTACATTTAATAACAATTTTTCTTACAGCCTATCTTGATGAATGTTGGCGTGCACTTAAAATAATTTGTGTTCTGGAGTTGTTGGCATACCAACAATTATGGCAAGTTGGCTCTTGGAAGCATCCCATTTTTCTTTCTTACTTACTACCTACATGTTCTACCACCTACTGAGTGATGGCGAAATTTCCAGCTTCTCTCTTTCATTACATCAGTTTCCACCAAGTAATTTGGAGCTCTGTGTGTAGCTTTATGATTTGACTTTCTTATAAAGTAACTTTCCCTGTCATGAAGTCTACTTTGTCTGATATAGTATGGCACCCTCCAAATATCCTTGGCTTAGTACTTGCACAAGATAGCGCTTACCCTTCTCCTACTTCCACCCTGTCTTCATGTTTAAAGAGTGCTGCTTGTTGGCCTGCACTTGAGTTACTGCCTTTTATCTAGCTTGACAATCCCTGCCTTTTAATTAGTGTGTCCATTTATATTTAGTGTGTAATACCACCTAAGATTCACCTCTAACACCTGGCCATTTCTTTTTTAATTAATATTTTGAGATTTTACTTTTATCTTTTTAGTTTTGGTCTTAGGACTTAGAATCTAAGATTTAAATTATGTCTTTAATTTAGCATATTTACCTGTTGTTATCTCAAGCAAAATCTAAATACCTTACTATAGCATGCATCTATTTTTACTACATCTTACATGCTCTTGTCATATATCATCTAATTCCACAACACATGCTTATTATTTAAGCTTTGAAAAGGTAACATTTCCTTCCTTCCTTTTTCTTTTTTCTTCCTTTTCCTTCCTTCCTTCCCTCCTTCCTTCCTTCTTTGTATTTTGATATATAGTCAAGGCTGGCATCAAACTCATGGTCTTCCTGCCTTAGCCTTTCAAGTATTGGGATTATAGGTGTTAAGTATCTTAAAGAAGCTAAAAAAAAGTATATTTGCTGGGTGCTGGTGGCTCAGGAGGCTAAGATCTAGGGATTGTAATTGAAAGCCAGCTTGGGCAGGAAAGTCCATGAGACTCTTATCTCCAAGTACCTACCAAAAAGCCAGAAGTTGAGGTATGCTCAAGTAGTAGAGCATTAGTCTTGAGCAAAAAAGCTCAGGGACAATGCCTAGGCCTTGAGTTCAAACCCCAGCACTAGCACCAAAAAGAAAACAAAGCCAAGTATGTCTATTATACTTTCCCTAGATAAACTTTCCATTCATAATGCTCTTCATTCTTTTGCATTGGTCTAGAATTCTCTCTTGTGGTATTATCCCTTGGTCTGAAGAATTTCCATGGTGCAGTCCAGATCTGTTGCTGACAATGTTCCTCAGCTTTTGTTTATCTAAAAACTTAATTTTTGTGTGTAATAATTCTAGATTTAACAAAAAGTTACAAAAAATAGTACAATGTTGGTTGCTGTATACTTTTCCCCAATGTTAGCATTTTCTATAATTACCCAAACTGGGACAGGAACATTGACATGACATTGTTGGATGATATAGCTTATTGGGATTTTTCTTGTTCTACTAGTGATTTTTTCTGGTACAGGACCCATGCTGTGATCCCTGACTCATTTGGCCAACATTTCTGCTTGGTCCTCTC